GTCTGATGATAAATGTGCTTTATTTCACGGATTGCAGTATCCATCAACAGACATCACAGAGACTGGTGAAGAAGTTATGCGCCCCCATATTGTAGGTATGTAGCCATTACTGATAATTGAACTTGAAATTTCAGGAATATTATGGGTTAACTGTATGTCATCTGTATCTTATCGGTACAACAGAAAATAAGAACTGACAACTCAGTTTGTAAGCACAAAATGCTTTGTCGTTCTCTACAAATACTATCCAACTTATACAGTATTTAACCTGAAATATATATTTAACCATAGTTTGATCACTGTACTAAGGACTAATTGTAATGCTTTCATAAGATTTCTATATCATCATTCAAAGTGATTGGACATCACGTTTTTGTGAATTTTTAAATGCTTCTTGACATAACAAGAGATTTCCGATACTGTTTGGTGAAATGAATAAGCACACAAAACAAAACATTGTATCTTTTATGTTATCAGGTATTCAAAGTCCAAACCAGCGCTCCCTTCTGGCTAAACACAATCCATGCAGGCCTGTGTTTGTCGAAGGCCCTTTCCCACTATGGCTCAGAAAGACTTGTGTTCATTATTACCTACTCAGGGCAGACCCTATACCGTCTGAGGAAAAGGTACAGTAATTAGGCCAATTATGGCATTTAATGAATTTGCTTAATACATACACTACCCATCAACATATGTGACCCTAGACCACAAAACCAGTCTTAAGGGTACATTTTTCGAAATTGAGATTTATACGTCATCTGAAAGCTGAATAAATAGCTTTCCATTGATGTATGGTTTGTTAGGATAGGACAATATTTGGCCGAGATACAACTATTTGAATATCCAGAATCTGAGGGTGTAAATCAAATCAAAATATTGAGAAAATCGCCTTTAAAGTTGTCCAAATGAAGTCCTTAGCAATGCATATTACTAATAAAAAAAAAGTTATATATTTATGGAAGGAAATTTACAAAATATCTTCATGGAACATGATCTTTACTTAATATCCTAATGATTTTTGGCATAAAAGAAAAATCAATACTTTTGTTACTTTTATTCATCAAGGATGCATCATAAAAGTAAAGACATTTATAATGTTTCAGAAGAATTGTATTTTCAAATTTAAATTATATTACAGTAGATAAGTTATTCACAATGTTGCTGTTTAACTGTATTCTCGATCAAATAAATACAGCCTTGGTGAGCATAAGAGACATCTTTCAAAAACATTTAAAAAATCTTAAATATTCCAAACTTAGTAGTGTAATACTTCAAAGAATACAGCAATACATAATAATAAAATTAAGACTTCATTCTTTAATAATTTGCATTCAAGATTATGTATTCGTATCTTATTTTCCTGTAGGTTGAGGAAGAATTTGACCCTGAGATGATCGGTCCGGAGCAGAGTCTCTTCTACCCTCAGCGACTGGAACTCGACCTGGAAAGAGACATGGGGGATGATTTCAGCTTCGATGTGGATGATGGTGAGACTCATATTGCTTTGTCAACTTGGTTTGAATAAAATGGTTTGCATATCACCAAATATATACAATGATGTCTGTTCATTTGATCCTGCAGTGGAAGAGGGGCTGGTTTACGCCATGTGTATGGCCGGTCAGGGAGACCAGGTCACTCTGTCTCAGTGGATTTCGGGTCTACAGGAGACCTGTCCCATATTGGGCCAGATTCCCACAGTGTTCCGACTGGAATCTGGACCTAGAGAACTGCAAACCACATCAGACGCTCAGCAAACCCCTGAGCAGGAGGTTGAAACAGATCAAATTATCGAGGAGGAACCGCTACACTCACAAAGAGTAAAACAGTGAGAGTTTGCTGTTGTAAAAGCCATGCCGATGGATGTGCATTTTATGAAGATGGACTGTGGTAGTTATACATTAATCTAGTATGATGAACCTTATATTTAATTTAGTAACCAGATACCAATTTGATGTCTTGTCAATTACACACAGTTTTTGAATTGAGATCTGTCTACATTATGTAGAGTTGTTCTATGATATGTAAACATGCCATAGACTGATTTGGCAGTACAATAAAACATACATTTCTCCAATATTTTGATTTTGTGTGGGGATTTTTTTTACTATAATAAAAAAAGTAGACAAGATTTTAGATAGTTTTAGTTAAGTAGTTCTTTAGTGTTCAGAACAATTTTAGTTTCACTATTCTAAGCAAAAGTAGACCTATATTTTCACCAAACCTCTATGCAATCAATGCAACATCTTAGTCATAAAAAGGTGCATATAATACTAAAAGGCATGCTAAGCTAATTAACATTTTAAATTGCAGACAAGCAAACAGGGTGCAAATGGTTTTATTACCTAAAACAGTTGTGGACTTAAGAGGGAATCAGAATTAAATGTTTTATTTATCCTTGGCTTAGATTGTAAAGAGGGCCCGGATTCACAGACAGGGCTTAGACTAAGCCAGGATTAGGCCATTGTTCAATTAGGAAATTTAAGTAATTTTTATTAACATGCCTTAGAAAAAACATTACTGGTGTGCATCTTGAGACAAAACAAAGGCACTGATATATTTTAAGATCAGTCAGTGCAAGTTTCTTTCAGTTAAAACAGCTCAGACTTACACTTTAGTCTGGGACTAGGCTTAAGCCTTGTCTGTGAAACCGGGGGTATGTTCGCTAAACCATATAATATGACGATTCTCATCCTTGTGATTTTTTCAAACGTGGTCTTTGTGTATAACCAAACATTAACACCACACTCTCAGATAATTTAGCAGGTTAGCTAGTAATTAACTACAAGGAACTGAGTTCAAATTATGGTAGATAAGAATTACATTTGATCGTATAGTATTATATAAACGGAAGAAGAATGTAATCATCTATTCGAGGCAAATTCTCAAGTAAAAAAAAGAGAACATTATGGCAAGTCAGAGTACAAAATAAAAATAATATATAAATAATCAAAATAATATATGCATTATGCAGTGCAACAATTACAAAAAAATTTATTACAGCATTTTTTGAAAAGTGCATAATCCGTACAAAATCCAATACTGGAAACACAAGATCAAAATGTAAGAAAACTGAATCTTAGATCATTAACGCATGAAAAAAAAAAAGAGAGTTAAAGTTAGGTTTAAGTGGAAAATAAATGATACATTTAGTCTAGTACTCCTATATTTAACAAAAGCAAGACTCAGAATAAATAAATCAGCCATTCTTTGGCTCAGCTTGTTATATAAATGAATAAATGAATGAGTGAAATGGTGTAAGATCAGCTTCAGCGTTTCCTCTTGTCTGGAAGTCTTCGGCCTCCACTTTGACTGGGTAGTTTAAATTTGGTTCTGAAAAATTATTAATAAAATGAATTATTTTCTAAGCCAGACTAAATGTACATTTCCCCGTTACCTGTAGAGGCTCTGCATCGCTGTTGAAGCTGGTGGGTGATGAAGTGTTCTCGGACGGCCACCTGTTTATCCCAGGAATCAAGAATGCCTTGACGTTCAAGATCTTCTAATGATAGTGTATCAGGATGCACCTCCTCAATGTGAGCTTTCACCCCTTCCACACTCGCGGAGTACTGCTGCTCTCCACAAACCATACACACCAACAACGGGTTGTCAGGATCAAAGTCCATGAGGTACACATTTCTCCACTCAGCCTGTGATAAAGGTCCCTCCATTGCATGATTTGGTGCAAAGCTTGACTCTTCTTCAAACAGAAGATGTTAGTAATATCAGTAAACAAATAGTCAGTTAAACTGTTTGGGCCTACTGTGTATTAGAAAATTCATTAAAAAATAACCTTTGAGTGCAGGTTGACGTGGTTCGGCTAAGTAACCAAGTTGGTCTTGTGATGTTATGCTGTTTGGAAATGAATCCAACATTAATTTGGTTCTCAAATAAGACTAACACTATCATTTAAAAGTTTTTTTAAATTTTTTTTTAAAGAAATTAATACTTTTGTTTAGCGATGCATTTAATGCATTTAAATAAATAAAAAAGTGACAGTAAAGACATGACAAGAAGAGACAAAAAAAAGGATCAGTTTACGCAGAAATATTAAAAAGTGCAACCATTTTCAACATTGATAAGAAATGTTTCTTCAGCATATTAAAATGATTTCTGAAGGATCATGTGATTGAAGACTGGAGTAATGGCTACTGAAAATTCAGCTTTGCCATTACATTTGAAAATATATTAAACTAGAATAGTTATTTTAAATTGTAATAATATTTCACAATATTACTGTTTTTATAGTATTTTGATCAAATAAATGCAGCCTTTCTGAGCATAAAAGACAAAAATATTTAAAAACATTTTACTGACCTCAAACTTTTAAATGGTAGTGTACATTTAAAAAATAACAGTAATAATAATAATTATAAAGTGTCACAAATTATTAAATACAGAAGTCACAATATTTTTTTCTACTACTACTTACCTCTGAACTACTGCTGAGCACAGACTGGTAAAGTTCTGACTCTAGGAAGATTAAAGAAAAAGTAAGGATAATGTACATTAACTGTAGTCAGCAAATGGCAACAAGAAATTCTGGAGCGTCAGCACCTAGGGGGCAGCAGAGCTGTAGCTCATCTGACCAAAGGAGAAAAAAAAAAGATTAGAAGTTTATGTAGTATGCAAGCAAGTACATGTAAATGCAAGATTAAGTGGTCTAGTGGTCTAGTTTTCACAGACAAAGTCAAAGACAAGTTCTGAGCAACTTGAGGCTGGGTAGATGATGACAATTCTCAAACATGATAAAAGTGCTACTTAAATGGACAGAGCAAATTTAGACACTTCTGCCATGGCATTTTTTACCTACAATAATCACTTAGTTTAACCCTACGAGGGGATACAATCATTTGAGAAACTGAGGAAAGAAACAGCGAGTTCCCAGTCTTCAGGAAAATATTGAAAATATTAATTTACTTGAGATGGCTGCTGATCTTTAATGCCAAAATAAATGTTCATATCTTTTACATGCTTATTTGAAGAAAAACATCTTTGATTATTTGACTCCTAATCAATTCTAAAACGCACCACCATCACGTCCTAAATTTTTCCCTATGTTTTCCATGTTTCTACAGTAGTGCTGGTGCACAGATATGCCTGGAGGCACGGGGGCCCCACACAGGGCCTCTGTACACTGCCACAAGTCAAAAGAGGCCTCCAAAATGTTTCTGTGATATTCTAGTGCTGAGGTATGGCTGGGGCCCCACATGGGGCCCTGTGAACACTGCTCCAATTCAAAAGAACCTACCCCCATTTGTCTGTGCATTTCTGGTGCTGAGATATAGCTGGGGCCCCCAGGGGACATAAAGCATATAGTGTTATTTGTGAACACTACTCCAATTCAAAAGAACCTACCCCCATTTGTCTGTGCATTTCTGGTGCTGAGATATAGCTGGGGCCCCCAGGGGACATAAAGCATATAGTGTTATTATTACAGGGTTTTGGTATACTGTGATGTCTGGTTTTCAGTATAAACTCGCCCTCATGTAATTCCAAACATATATGACTTACTTTCTTCTGTGGAACACATAAGCTAGTCTGATTTTTTTTTCTTCATATAATGAAAGTCAATGGTCAGTGTTGTTTTGGACCCTATTGACTTTGCAAAAACAGTTGAAACATCCTGCAAAATCTCTTTTTTTGTGTTCTGTAGAAGAAAGAAAGTCATACAGGTTTGAAACAACATGGCGATGACTATATGATGATCCGTTTAGATGAATGAGCCACAAATTGGTTCAACAGATCTGTCACACGAGTAAACAACTGCATGATCAGTGGGTAGCTCTGCGTGGGTATCACAGTCCCACTCAAACTCACAGCAGCGCTGCACTTTGGTCTGTTTTAGAACAATCTATAAATGAAAGGGATGTTACTGCTGACAGTATTTTGAAATAATGCTTTTATTTGGGGTCTTTTCTCTGTCTGCAATTACATTACTTTTCAAAAATTTGGGGTCAGTAAAAATTTTTGTTTTGTTTTTGAAATAAGTCTCATGCTCACCAAGGCATCATTTATTTGAAAAAAAAACAATAAAAACAGTAATATTATTAAATATTATTACAACATAAAATAAGTTTTCTATTTGAATATATTTTAAAATGTAATTTATTCCTGTGATGGCAAAGCTGAATTTTCAGCATCATTACTCCAGTCTTTAGTCACACGATCCTTCAGAAACCATTCTAATATGCTAATTTGCTACTCAAGAAACATTTCTTATTATCAATGTTGAAAACAGCTATGCCGCTTAAATATTTATGTGGAAACCGTGATACATTTTCTCAGGATTCTTTGAAAAGTTCAAAAGAACAGCATTTATGTGAAATAGAAATCTTTTGTAACATTATAAATGTATTTGCTGTCACTTTTAATTGATTTAATGCGTCCTTGCTGAATAAAACTATTAATTTCTTAAAAAAAAAAAAATCTTACTGACCCCAAACCTCTGAATGGTACTGCACATAAATAAAACCAATAAATCTATAAGGTCTAAAAAAATCATTACCTGTGCATCTTGGCCTTGTGGAGGGACCATCATCTGGCGTAGCGTTCTCTCACATGCTGCCTTTCTAGCTCTCTGCTCCTGTTTCTTGATCCTCCATTGCATGCGTCTCCTACGTATAACCTCCTCTGGATCTTGTTGTGGATTTGCCGTTGCCACTATTTGGCTTCTATTAGTTCTTGATTTATCTGTAGGCTGTGGCTGTGGACCTGAAGGCTTGGTGCACTTGCTTGTTTTTTTCTGAATGGGGATTGGTCTGCATGTGGAAGTGTCCTGGGACATGGCTTGCATGAGAGTTGTGCTTTGTGTTTTCTTCAGGGGAGTCTGTGAAGTGCAAGCAGTGTAGTTTGATTCAGGTAATGATTCTAATGAATCAATTCTTGTTAGTGAATCAAACTTATATAGCTTTCAACTAACTGTAAATCAGTAAGTTCATATGGTGACTTAATTAGCGAGTTAATAATTAGGGGTTCAAGCGCATAGCGCTGAAACCCTATTGTAATTGTTAGATTTCCCATGATGCAGCATTCCCCACGTAAATCTGATCGAGCAGACCAAACCGTAAG